ATATACTTTTGAAATTTGAATATTATATGTAATTTTGTTTGTTCTACAACTTCACTTAATCATAAAAAGTAGTTTTTGAATGCCAATTTTAAGTTTAATATAAAGAAACTACAAATTTTACTTAATATATATAAGTTACAAAACAGTTTGCTTAGCAGAATCAAATTTTCTTAAGTCATAATGAGAATTTGCTTAGCAGAGTTGAAAATAGTTTGCTTATTAATTATAGTAAATTTTAAAATTTTCATTTAACTTATACATAGATTATTCAGAATCCTATTAGAATATATCATAAAGATAAGCAAAATATATGTAGTTTATAACCTGTCATTGGAACATATGAATCTGATTAATTAAATTTTCACTCACACAGAATTTGGCTTAGTATTATATCTTTATATCACAGACTACTAACTCTGATAATTATCTATTAGAATACGTATTTCAATTTGAATTTACTACCATTATAAAACATTTGTTATCCAAAGCTTATTTAGAATTGTATAATCATGTTCTATTTAAGGTCAAGAAGCATGATGTAGATGGTAACTAAAGTAGGTATCTCAATATTCTTGTTTGTAACTATTAGCAACTTTTATATGAATTTAAACTTCTCATCTAAAAGGATAAAAAAAAAATCGATAAGTACTTAGACAGAGCAGAATACTATGATAAATTGCACAAGTGTCATACTGTTTATATAATTAATCTAACAGATAACGCTGGTATTGACTATTTTAAAAATAAAACTTGTGAAACTATAATTCTCATACATGTGATTATGATCAAGATAAAAGAACTGCTCTGATTAAATAAGAGTATTACCAAAAACAGGTATCTCTCGATAGCTCACAATGGAAATAGAGTTTGAGAAAAGAAATTTAAAAGTTTGTGATTACCAATTAACATAGTTAGACTGAAAGAGACTAAAGTCAAAGCTCATTATAGCAAACCTTCAGTTCCAACAATTTTGTTCATTATAATGAGATTTTATTAATAGTTTACTATACTGAGCTAAATTTATTATAGAAAAAATGAATTGGAGTAAATAAAAACATTCACTATAATGAGAGTTTATTATAATAAGGTTCACTATAATAAGCTTTCTAAGTCAATCATATTGTTAATAATAATAAAATTCTAAGACTACAATAAACTTTCTATGTGATAACTACTAAATAAATTAAAAAACAATAAGAGTATAATAGTTATTTACTCTTATTAGATAATTGCAATTATGAGAGTAGCTTTAAATTCCTTTAACTTTTTATATGTTAATGACAATTTTCAAATAATTGACTAAGCATATACAATAAATGATAGAATTTAGTTGATCTTATTATGTTTTAAAATATCAAAACAATTTTTTGGTCAAATTATAAAATATTCATAAGTTTAATTCTTAATCATTAGTAGATATTATAGTAAAGTAATTTAGAATTCTGTACTAACTCAATTTCTAAAATTAATGTCTTCATTTAACACATATAGATTACTGTTATAAAAGTAATAAATTTGTATATAAAAATAAGTTTATATGAAAAATAATAATTATAATAATCCTATTAAATATAAAAAAACAATATATTTGAGTAAAATAAATTTTTAATAATCTAGCTAAAATAATAGATAGTAGAGAAATAACTATCAGTTAACATCATAAAAAGAAAATGCATACTAATAAAAAACTTATTATTTGAGATTGTAATACAACTCTTTACTAAAAAATATATCTTAATATATTAGAAATTAGTACTTAATTCAAAAATATCAGAAATCATCTAATGATAATGCTATAACTAGTTACAGCACTATCTTTAATTGTAACTTATTTTAGTTAGCAAAAATGTAAGCAATTAAGTAATTTAGTTGATATTTCTATTAAGATTTGAAAATTCATAAACTTCAATATAGTTTAAGAAAATTTTTTATGAAAGTAATAATAGTAATATTAATAGTTATTTTAGTTTACTATTATAGCAATTTTTTTATAAATATATAATATTATACCTTTTATCTTTGGTTACAATTCAATTTATCATAAATTTTATTATAGAAATGATAATATGTTAAAATTATTAAAATTTATAAATTATAACATTAATTATTATCTTATATTTAAATTATGAATCTAAGAATGAATTTATGCAATTCTTATTAATTTTTAGAATAGATTATAGTATAATACTTATAAGAAAAAAGCAAAAAAAAATTACTAAAAAATATAATATCTATTAAAGATATTATGTATCATATGATAATATAGATTGATATAGTAAAATTTATATTATAAAATAATATGAATTTTTTGCATAATGTTAATATATGTAATATTTTAACATATAAAAAAAATTTATATAGTTAAAAAACTATGATCTTGAACTTTTATTTCTTTAAAAAATCCTTTTCTTTAAAAAATAATTTTAAAAATTTTTGTATAAAATTCTGAATAAAAATACTGTATAAGTCTTTATGAATAAACAATCTTGAATCTTATTAATTTCTAATTTATTGGCATAATTCAATTGATTTATCTAATAAGTGTAAATAGATATCTAGACCTTTATATATATAAAATATATAGTATATATAAAATCAGAAGTTTCAAGATATAGTATTTCTTTTTTTTTTTAATAATATTAATAATGTATATGTGACATGCTGCAACAAAACCAAACAAAGTGAATATTATTATTATCAAAGATTTCAGGGATCAAATGAAAAAATTATTGATCACTAAAAATGGATATTCTAAGAAAATTCTTTAACGATAAACAATATTATAAAATGTAAGTTCTACGAATTTCTAAGTAAGGAAATAATTATTTATAATTTCAAAAATTATAAACATTATGCGATTTAACATTATTAATATTATTAATTCTATATTTACAATTTATTATCATAATTATTATATCATAGTTATCAGGACGATGTCAACATTATTAATATTAGTAATAATTTGTCATTATGATACCTTTAATAATATCATAGATCTTAGAAATCAAAAAGTAATGACACAGTTTATATTACTTAAAAGATGTATAAATAAGAGCACATTCTTGAAAGCTAGGTTAGTGTGTATTTTATAACAATTTCTACAAATGAATCAATATATTGATAATAATATCAAAAATAATACATTTAATTATAAATGAACCTACTTTTCATGAGATGGGTTTCATACACACATTTACTAATTAAGTAAATAATTATTAAATCCTTGGGAACGCCTTTGGATTTATTACTTAATTAAGTAATTTCAGTCAACTTTAAATGGAAGTTTAGTTATTCTGGCCTAGGTGGTAGAAAGTAAAAACATCAAATATGACGATAGAAGAATATCTGAAGTAAAAACAACTTAATTAGGATATTCAGATATTAGTCATTACAATATGAATAAGTAATAATATTATTGATAATAGTAATAGCAATAGTGAATGTTGAATTTTTGTCAGAGCGCCTAAAGAATAAGTAATACTTATAAATGGTTTTGGGTCTGAGTATTTTTCTCTCATGCAAGTATTCTGACAATTATTTAACATATTTTTTATAAATTATTTATGTATTTTTCTATTATTAGTTGAATTAAAATAAATTTTTTTTTGTCATAAATAAATTCTAAGTCATGTAATACTAATTTATCATTGGTCAAAATCATGCCTAAATTATATGAAAAAAATTTTTTTTTAAAAAAAAATTAATTTTAAAAATTTTTTAATCTTAAAAAATGACAATGAAAGAGGAAATACAAAGTGAATTAAATAAAGCGAGAGATGATTATAGAAAGGTGGAGAAGAGGTTAAAAAGACTAGACGATTTAAAAAGAAAGAAAGTGAAGGAAGATTATGAAGGAGAGATGGAAGAATTAAGAGGAGAAAAAAAAGGATTGATGGCAAAGAAGAAGAAGTAGGGGACCTGATAGAAGAGTTGGTAAAAGCGTTAATTAAATTGATAGAGGGAAGGTAATGAACAAATTACATAAAAAAAAAAAATTATTTTTCGTTCATTCCATTTTGCTTGTTTATGTTTATAACATTGACTAAATTGGTTATTCCTTGTAAATTACACTTAATCATGAAGATATATTACTAAGCTAGCATTGACTTTTTATTTATAATGCTTATGGATGATAAAATTAAAGGCTTAAAGCTAGAGAGAAAAAGGAAAACAATGGAAGAACGTAAGAAAGATGTGATAGAAACTTGTTTCCATACCTGTCTATATATTTCATTTTATTGTTCTTACAAATAATTCTCTGCAGTTGCAGAAGGAAATAAAAGAAGATAGACAGTTAATAATGTCATTTCAAATTCAGAGTATAATAATATATACTTTGTTGATCTAATGAAGGATAGTATTCCACTCCTTGATATGATTTAGAGAGGTGAATTTGTTGCTTTATATGGTGCACGCGCTTTAAGAAAATCTACACGTGTGATTCAAGTTATGGAATAGTTGATAGATGAAGGCTTTATCTGTATTTAGTAAGTTCTATTTAATGAGCTCTGTTTAAAAGTAAATTGATCACATTTATGAAGTCTAATTATTGATTCTGTTTCTTTTCTCTTTTGAACAGTGTAACTCTTAAGCTGATTAACATAGAATCTGTAGATAAATTCTGAATATCACTTAGCCATTCTTTTGAAATCAATGGCACTTCTGATATCAAATTTACTGGTATCAAATCTGCTAGTAAATTTGCTAGATTTTTTAGGAAAGGCAACTGTAAAAAAAGGGTGGTTCTCTTTGTTGATGAATATGATGTATTGTATGAAGCAGATGATGATGTTAAAGCCTCATTCCTTAGGGCCATCCATGACATTAAAAATGCAAAAGATAATTATTCTCTCTGGTCTTTTGTGGCTATTGGTCCCTTAAATATTTTACATTTGAGTTCAAATAAGACTATGTCATTATTCAATGTGAAAGATCCATTTCAAAATCCAAATTTCATAAAGGAGCAAGTGCAGTTATTATATAGAAACTTTGCATATAACTATGATTTCATAATTGATCCAGTAATAGTTGAAGACATTTACACACGAACAAATAGATATGTAAATTTTATCACAATCACATGACAAAACAAAAAATCAAAAATTTACTTTCCATGATTCTATTATTTGACAGACATGCTAGACTTGTATACCTTTATGGAAAAGCTATTTATGCAGATTTAATAAGGAAGCTTGATGAAAGAAGAAGGCTTGACTTTTTAATCTGGTTAAATTTTACCATTAGTTTGTTGCAAAAATCAGTATTTGATTATGCTACCTTTAGAAAAATGGTTTATACACTTACCAAGAATAAAGTCAGAAAAGTCATGTAACTTATTTGATCTAAATTCATAGGATTTTTTGATTTAGTATAGATTATTGACAATGAAGAAAGAAATTTAGCAGAATTCTTAACAGCTGAGGGTGTGTTAATTAGGGATGAAGAGATCAGAGATAGATTTAAAATGTCATCTGTTCTTGTAAATGAGCTAGTTTGACAAAGAGTCATTCCTGAATTATTCAAGTCCTTCCTAATGGTTGCAGTTCCTGAAAAATATGATGGATTCCTTGATACTGTCAATGTTTTAAGAATAGTTGTCCAATTCTTTGACTAAGACATCATTTCTAGAGCATTCTATCAGTTATTTAAAACAGCATATAATGTATATGTGAATGGTTAAAAAAACAAACATGTTTCCTAAGAAAGTGTTTATGATACAGAGATGAACAGGATCTTAATCAACTGGATTTCTAAACAAGGTAATTTTGAGGTTACTTCTCAGTGACATTTGGTAGAATATCATGCCAATGAAAAAGATAAATACACATATAGTGATCTTATAATTAAAACTCTACATTAGACAATTGTTTTGAAACTTCTAGCTACTGCAACTAAACACAACTCAATGAACACTTTGTACAAGTACTTGAATATAGGAATAAGCTATCTAGAAGATATTTGGATAGTACATTTCACATGTGAGGATAATTCAACCCAAAATTCCTATTATCCATCTAATGAAGAATTGAGTAAACTTAATATTGTACACTTCTTGCATGATGAAGAGTTTAAAAGTATGTGAATGAATACTTGATTCATAGATAGCTCTAGTACTTTTAATTATATTAATATTGAACTGATTATTAGTCCAGAGTGAGGCGAAGGACTATATAATTTTACGAGCGTTAGTGATCATTGTGATCACATGACGATTTCCAGATGTCCGCACACATCACGTTACTAAAAAAAAACAATAAAAAAAAAATAAATAAAAATAAAAAAAAAACAATAAATAAAAAAAAAAACAAGATAAATTAGTCTTTTTGCATTACGTATGACAAGCTATATGATAGATTAAATAAAGTTGAGATTTTTTTGCATTACGTATGACAAGCTACATTATATACTAGACTAGATTAAAGTTCGAATGTGATTTTTTATTTTTGAAAATATATTTTTGTTAGATCTTGTAGAAATTGTAGAAATTAGTTTTGTTAGATCTTAGAGCAAAAGTTTCGCGCTAAATATGTACTGAAATACAATTTCTTATAAAGCCTGCTAAATATAATATGAAGTATTTGAAACATAAATTTTTCATATATAATATATTTTTTTTTGAACACTTTTTTTTGGAACACTTTACAATGTAATTTATTAAGAGTTCTTTTTTTAGGTATTTACGAAAGTTTTACTCATAATATGTTACAATAGCTTGTAACTTTATTTCAATTTCCTAGAATCATAGAAATTAGACATTCTTCTTCGTCTAATCTCTCTTATAGCCTTCTACTTTCTTTAATATGCTGAAGTCTTTCAAAGTTGAATGGTTTAAAAAGAATATCTTCAAGGATGCATACTCGAGATATTGCCACAAATGAAAGACCAGCAGTAAATTCTCTATCACCAAGGTCTATCATGGCCTTTTGTAATGTGAAACCTTGGCTTTTGTGCATCGTAATTGCCCACGCAAGGCGAATAGGAATTTGTAGGTGTAAACAAACTCTGGATTTACCATCCCAGGTATGTCGAATTGGTGCAATTAACACAACACTTTCACCTTCTAAGCTAGCAATGGTGGGGCCTTTATAATTATCAAAAGAGATCAGGACCGCTATAGGGA